TTTGCCTCACCATTTAGTGTGTGTCTCACTCACTCAGAGCTACAGTGGTTTTGGTCTCACTATTTAGTGTGTGACTCACTCACCCACTATTACAGTGATGTTTGCTTCACCATTTAGTGTGTGTCTCACTCACCCAGAGCTACAATGGTTTTAGCCTCACCATTTAGTATGTGACTCACTCACCCAGGGTTACAGTGATTTTTGCCTCACCATTTAGTATGTGACTCACTTGCCCAGGGTTACAGTTGTTTCGGCCTCACCATTTAGTGTGTGTCTCACTCACCCAGGGTTACAGTGATTTTTGCCTCACCATTTAGTGTGTGTCTCACTCACCCAGGGTTACAGTGGTTTGGCCTAACCATTTAGTGTGTGACTCACTCACCCAGGGTTACAGTAATGTTGGCCTCACATTTAGTCTGTGGCTCACTCACCCAGGGTTACCGTGGTTTTGGGCTCACCACTTATTGTGTGACTTACTCACCCAGGGGTACAGTGATTGTTGCCTCACCATTTAGTGTGTGTCTCACTCACCCAGAGCTACAATTGTTTTAGCCTCACCATTTAGTGTGTGACTCACTCACCCAGGGTTACAGTGATTTTTGCCTCACCATTTAGTATGTGACTCACTCGCCCAGGGTTACAGTTGTTTCGGCCTCACCATTTAGTGTGTGTCTCACTCACCCAGGGTTACAGTGGTTTGGCCTAACCATTTAGTGTGTGACTCACTCACCCAGGGTTACAGTAATGTTGGCCTCACATTTAGTCTGTGGCTCACTCACCCAGGGTTACCGTGGTTTTGGGCTCACCACTTATTGTGTGACTCACTCACCCAGGGGTACAGTGATTTTTGCCTCACCATTTAGTGTGTAGCTCACTCACCCAGGGTTACAGTGATTTTGGCCTCACCATTTAGTTTGTGACTCACTCACCCAGGGTTACAGTGGTTTTGACTTCACCATTTAGTGTGTGACTCACTCACCCAGGGTTACAGTAATTTTGGCCTCACTATTTAGTGTGTGACTCACTCACCCAGGATTACAGTGATTTTGGCCTCACCATTTAGTATGTGACTCACTCACCCAGGGTTACAGTGATTTTGGCCTCACCATTTAGTGTGTGTCTCACTCACCCAGGGTTACAGTGATTTTGGCCTCACCATTTAGTATGTGACTCATTCACCCAGGATTACAGTGATTTTGGCCTCACCATTTAGTGTGTGTCTCACTCACCCAGGGTTACAGTGATTTTGGCCTCACCATTTAGTGTGTGTCTCACTCACCCAGAGCTACAGTGGTTTTGCCTCACTATTTAGTATGTGACTCACTCACCCAGGATTACAGTGATTTTTGCCTCACCATTTAGTATGTGTCTCACTCACCCAGAGTTACAGTGATTTTGGCTTCACCATTTAGTGTGTGTCTCACTCACCCAGGGTTACAGTGATTTTGGCCTCACTATTTAGTATGTGACTCACTCACCCAGGATTACAGTGATTTTTGCCTCACCATTTAGTGTGTGTCTCACTCACCCAGAGTTACAGTGATTTTGGCTTCACCATTTAGTGTGTGTCTCACTCACCCAGAGCTACAGTGGTTTTGGCCTCACTATTTAGTATGTGACTCACTCACCCAGGATTACAATGATTTTTGCCTCACCATTTAGTGTGTGTCTCACTCATCCAGAGTTACAGTGATTTTGGCCTCGCCATTTAGTGTGTGTCTCACTCACCCAGAGTTACAGTGATTTTGGCCTCACCATTTAGTGTGTGTCTCACTCACCCAGGGTTACAGTGATTTTGGCCTCACCATTTAGTGTGTGTCTCACTCACCCAGGGTTACAGTGATTTTGGCCTCACCATTTAGTGTGTGTCTCACTCACCCAGGGTTACAGTTGTATCGGCCTCACCATTTAGTGTGTGTCTCACTCACCCAGGGTTACAGTGATTTTGGCCTCACCATTTAGTGTGTGTCTCACTCACCCAGAGTTACAGTGATTTTGGCCTCACCATTTAGTGTGTGTCTCACTCACCCAGAGCTACAGTGGTTTTGGCCTCACCATTTAGTGTGTGTCTCACTCACCCAGGATTACAGTGATTTTGGCCTCACCATTTAGTGTGTGGCTCACTCACTTAGGTTAGAGTGATTTTGGCCTCACCATTTAGTGTGTGTCTCACTCACCCAGTTACAGTGATTTTGGCCTCACCATTTAGTGTGTGTCTCACTCACCCAGGGTTACAGTGATTTTGGCGTCACCATTTAGTGTGTGACTCACTCACCCAGGGTTACAGTGATTTTGGCCTCACCATTTAGTATGTGACTCACTCACCCAGGGTTACAGTGATTTTTGCCTCACCATTTAGTGTGTGACTCACTCACCCAGGGTTACAGTGGTTTTGGCCTCACCATTTAGTATGTGACTCACTCACCCAGGGTTACAGTGATTTTGGCCTCACCATTTAGTATGTGACTCATTCACCCAGAGTTACAGTGATTTTGGCCTCACCATTTAGTGTGTGACTCACTCACCCAGGGTTACAGTGGTTTTGGCTTCACCATTTAGTGTGTGACTCACTCACCCAGGGTTACAGTGATTTTGGCCTCACCATTTAGAGTGTGACTCACTTTCTCTGGACAAAGTCTTTCGCCTTCAGGTGCTCTAGGTAGAGCATCATTTAAACTCGGGACATACTGACACGCTACCCCAGTACGCTACTGACCTTTGTCACTAGGCCTTCTTGAAACCATGCACTTAAAATCAGAATGCCATAAATACTATTTTCGGTGATCTACGTGCTGGTACACATGGAATCGCTGTTTTCATGATGAACAAACCACCAACGTTCCAACCAACCATGCATCTATGCTTAGGTACACCATTACTGCGCTTGGATGAATATGTCATTGTGCTTCTTTATTGGTACCACCTTCTCTGGCGATAAGAACCATCTCTCACCGACTACGAAGTTTAACATCTGTAATATTTGAGTGCTCACCATTGGCTGGATTTTTACTTAAAAAGTGACAATTATTTAAGAAATTAAAATAAACATGACAACGTTTAAAATACTCGTATGTTGATGAAACGTGAAATCAGGATACTTGAAACTGTGTATCGAGGAGCAATAATAAATAGGTAACTATCGCCGCGTGAACACCGAATTCCCGGGTATCCCAGGATATGTAGAGCATAATTCTCAATTCGGAATTCAGACGTATTACACCCTTGAAATGGTAACAATCGTACTCCTGTGTCCGTGTCACCCTGCAACAAAGGTCAAGGTTAAAATGTAATAAGAAATAAATAGAAAACGTGGTCATAAAATTCTGTCAAATAACATTTTGATAAAGTGTTATGTAAACAGAACGATGGAGATCAGTCGATTGCCGATAGGTGCCCAACCTCGTTAATTTTATAATATGTTATTATAGTTTTTGCTTGTTATTTTGATCAGAAAAGATTCGTTTTAAAATTTGAAAGGTTTTGAAATTTTGATGTTGCGCACGCATGCTTCAACTAACTCTATTTATGTCAATTAAACTTGACATGCAACACAGGAACGCACAAAAGTGTCACTTCACCGGAACATGTAGATCATTTCATTTGGGAAGAATGCACGAAAACGAAACACAGCTGGAAGGTCGACTTGTTGTACGCATTGAAAGGACCCACAAAAAGCTTTTCTAAAAACAAATCCCTCTTCTCTCTGTGAAAGAAACAAATAAAGGGTGATATGAACAAATTCGATGGAACGAATCAATTTAGAGGATATTGCAAAGTACATTGTCCACTCGAGCCATGCTACATTTCTGTTGCTACGGCGAGTACGCGCAACAAGTTGCTACATTTCATCAATATAATGGTCCCGAGTATAGTTTCTATAAGGGACGCCTACTTTATTCTGACAGGCTGCTCAGGTAAAGCAATTACTTTTGTCAAGCCGTCAATCAAAAAGTTACTTTTTTGTTCGCAGTGAAGACTAACTACAGTAGAGGCAAACACAAACACTTGTATGATTTAATTTAGAATCAGATCTTCGGTAATACACATCACGACATTGAATGAAATTCACCTTTCCCACAACATATATACAGTTTATTAAATTTCCAATCGATAATCTATAAACCTCTTCAAGTATTCAGTCTTATCCACTAACAGATTCTGTGGCAGTCTTCACTATCACTTAGACATACTCTGTGTACACTGTCATTTGTGTTATAAGTAATAATATTTTATCAGGAGACGACATCAAATAAGAAACTCACATTCTATATACGTTGATTTATTTTATTAGCGGACGCTACCAAAGTACACGCATATACATTGCTTATTCTATATACGTATATTCGTTTTACTTTTCGTTGCCATGTGTTACGCATCGTATCACGTGAACCAGATTCCTATCGATTTCGCATCACGTGACACTAATTCCCACTTGTTGCATTTTCCTGGTCGTTTCGTAACTTTGAACTGCGAATTTGTTACTGGTATCTCGAGTCGTTTCACATTTTGTGTTTGCTTACTATACTTCTGCTCTAGCTGCCACGTAGTCACTCGTTGATTAACTACACTCTGAACATCCTTAACGAAACACCCGCCAGCATAACACAATTGAAGGGCGAAGTACAAATAAAATGAAACAAAATTGTTTTCCGTCGAAGTGTTAAAAAGACGCGACGAACCTCGCGTAGTTAGGAGTCCAAGGAACGGGTAGATGTGGTGGAAGATGTCTTAGAAGACATAAAGAAGCTGTCATTCAACTCCAGTCGATACATGCGAGTTGTTATTCCATCATACTGACAAGACATTCTTAATTATGTTATGTGTGTGTTTATAACGTTGTATCGACCGAGTTCCGTTCAGGCCTGTCACATGTATTGATGAAGGGGGAAACGAAATGAATGACTACAGCAAGACCTGACAGCCAACGTCAATGCTTCATCTGTGCATTTCTTCATGCAACTACCGTCTCACCAAGGTAGCACACATACACGCTACATAGGCATGTTTGCTTTATCTATTGTCCTTTCAACTTTTTTTACAAATCAACTTTGCCAATACTTAATTAGACTTGCAGCTTGTCTATTCTATTCGATGTGCCTAAATTAGCTAGAATGATTCACAATGGCTATGCATGTCTGTGTCGTAGTTAATTTGCTATCCCCCACCCTCTATGCTGGACCATGTGTGCGTGTCCTGTAATCAACAATAGTACGTGCGTTCTGTTGTTTCAATCAACGCAAATATACTCTTACGCTCTACATTGGTCATTACGCGATGAAGTGTATAAATAGTGTTATGTAATTATCATGAAGTAAAGTATTTGGAGTACCAACATATTGTAAAATCGGCACAAACGATTACGTATATAGACCTGGAGTGACGGGGTGAATATAGTGAATTAACCATTGCGTTGAAAAAAACACTATGCTTATTATGCACATTTAGACCCAAGTGTATCATTACCATAATCTTCCTCTGTTGTATTCCCCTTTGGTTTACTGGCTTTGACTCGGTCAGTCATCTTGTTGGTCAGATAAGAGGGGCGTATCCCATTGGGGTTTTAAACCCTTACTGTAGGTTTCGCTTCATTTGGCCTTTCATTAAGATTAACATAACGAATGCAATGTTTCGCTGACAGGTTAAATACAAAGATGGTCGAATGAGGAGTGTTAGTGGATCAGATGACTACTCCATGCGGTGGATGAGGTTTATCAGTACAGCGCGTCACCGCCACGAACAAAACGTTGAAGCAACCCGTAGAGAAGACGGTCGCATTTTCTTCCGAACAGTCCGCACTATATTGAAGGGGGAGGAACTCCTAGTTTGGTACAGTGTTGAGTTGGGGAAAAATATGGGAATACCCTGTTTGTCGAAAGAAAACATACAAGGTAAGACATCTTTCTCTTTTCGAAATAACATTGCTTATTGAGTATAAAATGTGCTTTTAATTTTTGTTCGTTTTTTCTAATCCAAAACATATTAAAAATGGTAAAAAATGTTGAGAAGTTTCATTCTACACATATGAAAACCGCACTGTCGACCCAATATTCACTTTCCAAATATCTGTGCGTTATTATGCATTACATATCACCACGTGTGTATTCATTCGATACCACATTTTCATCTCAAAATATGGGGGAAATGTTGAAAAACAGCTATGAACGAGTTGTCAGATGCTGCACACTCAGATAAAAATACAAATGGAAGCAATTGTCGATAAAACCTTATTATATACTTGACTTTATTATATGTATATGATGTTGTTTCAGAAGTCTAAATATTATCTCCATTACCGTCACACCACCAACCATTTACGGCTAATACTTCAAAGCCAATTACAGTTATTCTAATGTGCAAATCAGATTAGCTAATTCTATTAAACTCACCGTTTTAGAAGTGCAAAGCTTCTTAACTTATTTTCTCGTCTGTATTGTGTTTTTTATGTGTTTAACTTGGATAGAAACCCCGCTATTGATGTGTCCATGATATCATGATAGCTAATCTAACCCACTGTCTGCTTTTATCAGTATTACTCTTACATATGCTATAGATGTTTTTAAAGTTGTACTCTGTGAAGGCAGTAGTCAGAGATTTACTATTATACCTCTAAACGACATCGCAACAAACAGCCGCGAACCATGGTTTTATTTTGGCGCTGCGGTCATATACTACGCGTACTATAGCTGTATGGTGTATTTTAATTTGTTCATTTACTAAAAATAGAGTTAAAAACATTTCCACTTTTATATAAACGGTGCATAGTAAACTACCGGAATCTTTCAGTCCAAGCAGTCAATCGATTGATCGATTCATTATTGTATGTAGCAATTACATCTCTATATACAAACTTGTACGACATCGATCGAATGGGTTTTGTTCGCAGACGTGATATTTTGTTGTGAACTCGTTATCATGGCGTCAGAACCGGTGAATACTGGGAATGAAAACAGAAGAAGATCCAAAATAAATATAAGAAATTAAAATTGACACCCAACTTGAAAATGTCCTAGAAATTGACGATCCCTCGTTATGAACAATTTAGCCATTAAGAGCTATTACATTGAACAATTTACCAATACACTCTTCAAGTATCTAACCAACGATGGTTAGACAACTATTCACGTGAAAATGTTATACATACTTCACCGGGTCCCGGCACGATTGAGAATGAAAAGTCGTCTCCAAACCTAAGTCGCGCTTTTACCACGGTGACTGTTTTTGTATGACTGACTGTGTCATTTCGTTGTTGATGTATACCACTTGCTAAGTCAGGATATATCTTAACGGCTGACTGAAGTTTTTTATATTAAACCGGGAGCAGCTCGAACTACTATCTCGTAGTGTACGGTATCACACCCCGGGTGTCACACATAGCACCACAACCGAGAGGTCTTGTAGTGTATGGGTGACACACGAAGCACCACAACCGAGAGATCTCGTCGTGTTCGGGTGACACACGCTGCACCACAACCGAGAGATCTCGCCGTGTACGGGTGACACACGCAGCACCACAACCGAGAGATCTCGCCGTGTACTACTGACACACGCAGCACCACAACCGAGAGATCTCGCCGTGTACGGGTGACACACGCAGCACCACAACCGAGAGATCTCGCCGTGTACGGGTGACACACGCAGCACCACAACCGAGAGATCTCGCCGTGTACTACTGACACACGCATCACCACAACCGAGAGATCTCGCCGTGTACGGTGACACACGCAGCACCACAACCGAGAGATCTCGCCGTGTACGGGTGACACACGCAGCACCACAACCCAGAGATCTCGCCGTGTACGGTTGACACACGCAGCACCACAACCCAGAGATCTCGCCGTGTACGGGTGACACACGCAGCACCACAACCCAGAGATCTCGCCGTGTACGGGTGACACACGCAGCACCACAACCCAGAGATCTCGCCGTGTACGGGTGACACACGCAGCACCACAACCCAGAGATCTCGCCGTGTTTCCGCTATCAATGGAAACCAACATCGGGCATTGAACCGATAACTGTACATCCGCGTAAATAGTGAATGTCGTCTAGATAAACCACGCACGTGGACTAAAATAGCCAAGCTTTGTTTTGTTCATAACGTGAGGGCGATCGGCTGACGTGCGCGCTCTAGAGGTCTCCCCACAGGAGACAAGGCAACAGTAAAGTCGTAACAACACGTTTTGAGGTTCCCACAATATAACAATGTTCTGTGTCATAGATAACCCCCGGCTGCTAGTTAATACAAAATTATAGAGCCAAAAGAACACACGGTTACAGCATACGATATGTCACCAGGACGATGTTAGACGGTGAGGCCACCGACACACAGAGTGCGAACGAAGGGAAATATGTGTACCCCTGTGAACCGTTCTTAAATAAAATCATGAGTGTTAAACCCTTTGACGCAGTGACAATTATTTGACCAAACAAGGAATATTAAACCAACAACAGATAGATGCACGAGAGTTACAAGAATGAAAAGGAAAAAAGACACTTGTGGCGTTAACTTTAGCTATGAACCATGGCATTGAAGGGTTAGCTATCGCATTTCATTTTTGCGGTGCCGGTTACCCAAATGGTCGTTATTTTATGTTATGTGCCGCATTGTTTTGGCGAAGTGCGAGATTGAAGTTGGTTTCATATATGTGTGTGGCATTTTTTATTGTGTTGGCACATTTTTCCAGGATTGTTTGTTACCCGTACATCCGCTTGCTTGTCCCCTAATATTACCATCTGTATGACCGCGTGTCTAACTGTCTATCACCGATGCAATTATTTCTATCCATTAGCCTCATTTATCAGAGCAGCGCCCTCTAGGTTTATGTTTGTAATTAGCACATGGGTAAACAAATAAATAAGTTCGACGTAACTCCTCGGACTTCAGACTTCATACATTTTTTTACAAAGTAGGAACATCATGAGACTGGCGTGGATGGGGCTGACCGTGTTTGATGCTGTTTTGTTATAAATATACACTGTCGCACTGATCAAATTTGTTTTTCTATCGGCACATTATTTGTATTAATAGCTGATAGCGACTATTCTATGATTTAATAATACAAGATATTGCGGGGTAGAATAATTCTGCCTGTTTCCTAGTGTGGTAGAATCATTCTGTCTGTTACCTAGTGTGGTAGAATCATTCTGTCTGTTTCCTAGAGTGGTAGAATCATTCTGTCTGTTTCCTAGTGTGGTAGAATCATTCTGTCTGTTACCTAGTGTGGCAGAATTATTCTGTCTGTTGCCTAGTGTGGTAGCATCATTCTTTCTGTTACCTAGTGTGGTAGAATAATTCTGCCTGTTACCTAGTGTGGCAGAATTATTCTGTCTGTTTCCTAGTGTGGTAGAATCATCTATCTGCTGCCTAGTGTGGTAGAATCATTCTGTCTGTTTCCTAGTGTGGTAGAATCATTCTGTCTGTTACCTAGTGTGGCAGAATTATTCTGTCTGTTGCCTAGTGTGGTAGCATCATTCTTTCTGTTACCTAGTGTGGCAGAATTATTTTGTCTGTTTCCTAGTGTGGTAGAATAATTCTGCCTGTTACCTAGTGTGGCAGAATTATTCTGTCTGTTTCCTAGTGTGGTAGAATCATTCTGTCTGTTGCCTGGTGTGGTAGAATCATTCTGTCTGTTGCTTAGTGTGGTAGAATCATTCTGTTAATTTTCTAGTGTGTAGAATCATCTATCTGCTGCTAGTGTGGTACAATTATTCTGTCTGTTACTAGTGTGGCAGAATTATTCTGTCTGTTGCTAGTGTGGTAGCATCATTCTTTCTGTTACATAGTGTGGTAGAATCATTCTGTCTGTTGCCTGGTGTGGTAGAATCATTCTGTCTGTTGCTAGTGTGGTAGAATCATTCTGTCTGTTGCCTGGTGTGGTAGAATCATTCTGTCTGTTGCTTAGTGTGGTAGAATCATTCTGTTAATTTTCTAGTGTGGTAGAATCATCTATCTGCTGCCTAGTGTGGTACAATCATTCTGTCTGTTTACTAGTGTGGTAGAATCATTCTGTCTGTTGCCTGGTGTGGTAGAATCATTATGTCTGTTGCTTAGTGTGGTAGAATCATTCTGTTAATTTTCTAGTGTGGTAGAATCATCTATCTGCTGCCTAGTGTGGTACAATCATTCTGTCTGTTTACTAGTGTGGTAGAATCATTCTGTCTGTTGCCTAGTGTGGTAGAATCATTCTGTCTGTTGCCTAGTGTGGTAGAATCATTCTGTCTGTTACCTAGTGTGGTAGAATCATTCTGTCTGTTGCCTAGTGTGGTAGAATCATTCTGTCTGTTGCCTAGTGTGGTAGAATCATTCTGTCTGTTACCTGGTGTGATCTATACCGAAATCACTGACAGCACTAATCAACGAATAAACGAAACATTACATTTGGAATGGCATTTAAAAATCAAAAAAACAAAACAAAAAAAGCTTGCACATTTCCAAAAAAGATATGTAAGAGCATATGTGGCGACACGGTGATACCCGTGACAATACGCCGTTGTATGTGGCGATACATCGTACATATGGAAATATGGCGGTGTATGTGGTGATGTGATGATATAGCGGTGTATGTGGTGATGTGAAGATATAGCGGTGTATGTGGTGATGTGACGATATAGCGGTGTATGTGGTGATGTGACGATATAGCGGTGTATGTGGTGATGTGACGATATAGCGGTGCAAGTAACGATGTGATAATACATGTGGTCACATGGTAATATGATGATATGGTGAAGAACATGACAATATATGATCTTAGTTTTCACATGAAACCGTGGTGTGTCTGAACTGTATAATAATGCAAACACAAAGTTGGGAATCCTGGCTGGCCGAACGCTTCAATACACTTTCAGCTGACACTGTTTATTGATTCTACGCTAAAGTATCAATTGTTAA